TTAACTCTGTTTTTTCCTTCACAGATGCTGCCAGACCTGCTGAGCTTTTCCAGCAACTTTGTTTTTGTTACTGATTTCGGTTTTTAAGACATATAAATAGTTGGGCAAATCGTCAATGGGATATCCAGATACTCCCCCAATCCCTTTCGACACAGCATTCTAACAGACTAAATCCAGCCAATGAGGAGTCCAGTATTTAAACTTATTTACTTTTCTGTCTATGTTTAAAATTTATTCCTGTTATAAATGGCTGTAAAAGAAACAAAGCAGGATGATGCTGAATTTTTCTTCCTGCAATCAAATATAACTGAATGGGTGGGGGCAAAGGGAAAACAAAAGGCCCTATACAGACTTCCCTTGTCACAATGAATTACCTGCTAGCCATTGGAAGAATTACAGCGTAAAATAATTTCAGATCATTAGAAATGTTGAATGTGAATTAATTCTGAAATGTACATTAAGAATTTCAATTAAAACTCAACTGAAAGCTTCACCGAACAAACTAGGACAAACTAACGCTGAAAGTCAAAACCCTGGAACTCCTCTGTAGTACTGAGGGTGTACCTGCACTGGGTTGAGGAGAGCTCACCATCTTCTTCTCAGAGGCAAATGGGACAGGCAGTAAATGCTGGCCCAGCCAGCAATGCTTACTCCTGTGAAAGAATAAACTATGAAAAATTCGGTCTTGATTTTCGATTCACGATCGGGAAGCCATTTTCCAGACAGACTCTGGTTCCCATCACTCTGTCACAATCATCAAATAGAAACGCCCTGATTGGTTTGTTGGCAAGCGTGGCTTGTGGTGTTGAGTGTTTCCAGGAGGTGGGTGACAGCACCAAAGACAGACAGGAATCATAGGATGAATTATGAATCATGCGAGCAGCGGGGCGGGGGGGCTGCTGCTTGTAGAAGACGGAAGGGAGCATCTTAGAGGGGAAGCTGTCCTGCTGAACTCAAAAGAGCCAAATGACCAAGTCGTGAGGGCAACAACCAGTCTAGCACAACATCCAGCATGTTGCAACATTTGGTAGCCCTTTTCTGAGGTCCAGGAGCTTCACAGACTGGAGGGAAACAGCATCCGGATTCCCTCCACCCTCCCGACTTTGAAAATTCCAGACAATCCTGGAGGCCGTGGGGCATTGCATACCTTCTAGGAGTGCCAAGTTCAATTTGTGTCCGTTCCTGTTTTCATCCCCAAGGGTGACTGAAACTCCCAGATACTGTCTCTGACATTTTTAAAAATTTATGTTGCCAAGTTATCAAAAATGCCACAAGAGCCACTGACAAAATTACCTTCTCTGAGCTTTCTAGGATCTAACTTCTGAAAAACAGTCATGACCAAAATGATGGCATCGGAGTTCGAAATCAAAATCGTTCATTTCTTGCTCATAAATATTTAAAAGTGAAAATAATGATCATTCGCAACATTTTGCAGCAAACGCCACAAGTATGTGCTGTATCTATGAATTTGACAATTACAGTAAAGAGGCAGCTGGAGCCTTTGTTTCCCATTGCAAATGAAGTGAAGTTTTTGTTTCTGGATCTCATATCTTTGTCCAACAGGTTGAGGCTGGAATCTCTGATCAGCAAAGCTCATGCACAAAGCTCAACATGCTGACACTACTGTTTGTGCTATTTTACACAGTTGCTTATCTTGGTTCGCGCCTGTAGAAACTAAGACTGTCTGTCATACATGTCCTGGGTATTCACAAATAAACCTTAACAAATCGGTGGTTCTATTCTATTGGAAAACTAGAACTGGGCCTTCTTTTCTGATTAGAATCCCTCCTCTGGGTGAAATCTGACGAAACTTCACAGAGGTAAACCGTTCATTGATAAAGAGTCTGGTTTCTGGTCGAATGAAGAGTGGTGGGTAGGCTCTCAAAGCTGGTTGGTGAATCAGAGACTTGCCTGCTTCAGAGGAACGCACCATGGTGCTGTGCAAGAGAAAGCAGAGTTAACTTGGATTTTTCTCCACAGATGCTGAGTTTTGCTGGCAATTTCTGTTTTTGTTTTGGATTTCCAGCATCGATGGTTCTTTGTTTTTGTTTTCTGTACAGTACAAATTGGGAGGATTTCACAACTCTAAGGTGGCCTCTTGGATATTCTTTTCTTTTCAAAATTCAATTTAATAACAGAAAGAAAAGAAGCTAGGCCTGTGGGTGGGGGTGAGAACTCCTCTGCAGTGTGGTCTTTTGCTCTACCTATTTCCAGGCAGGCAGGGAGCATTCATGGGCCTGCCACTAAAGGGGGAAGCCCCCAACCGGGCCCTGGGTGCCAATTTCTTGGCAATTGATTTGCTTCAAAATTAACTTCGAAGTAAGAAACCTATTTCACTTCGGTTTTGTAATAAGCAGCAAAATTAAATATCACATTGCTCTAACTTGCAAACATTGTGAAGAAAAGCCTCAAATGAAAAGTACAAGCTTATCATTTCAGTTGATATTTGTTCTCTCTGTTCCAGGTCCACTGCTGCTCTCTTATTCCTTTCTTAACTGGGAGAACCCTACAGTCTGATCCATGGATGAGTGCACATATTTCAGGCAAATCACGAGAGACAACCAACACAAGGCATACTCAATATTGATCTGCCTGTCCAGTTTTTCCTTGCACTCTAGCATTAAAAATTCCATTTAGCAATTCAGATAAGAGCTTCTGTAATATGGGCAGAGTATAAGTGAGGTCAAACAACCATGCCTGGTATTGAACCCAAGCTAAATACTTTACAAGACGACCCATTGTTTTTTCTCAAAAACAAACTTGTATCCCTGGATCAAAAAGTGGCAGTATTCTTTAGTGTAATGTCAAGAAGCAGTTTCCAGCATTGCCTGCATTGAGTACATGACACAAGATATTTTCCAATTAATTTTTGTTGTTAAAGGTGTTCAAATTTTCAATGTTCTATATTCATTTAGTGGGGATCACACAATTTATAAAAGGAGTCCAATCAGTTTGTTTCTACTAATGGTTACAGGCTTTTTTTTTTTGGCTCGACAAGTTCAGCTTTTATGGAAATGGAGATTGAGAATTGTATTCTCAGTTTCAAACAGTTCTGATATTTCAAGGCCATTTGTGATTCTCAAACGTACAGTAATTTGTCTTTTTCTGCTTTTGTTTCATGTTAAGAAATCTGTGATATCAAGTTTGTACGCTTTGAAAAGCAAACAATGACACACTTAATCCTTGTATTCTTCAGTCGCTTTGCAAATTTCCGTGGCAGTAATTATGACTTCACGTGTATACTGGAAGCTTTATAAGTCAGATCATAATTGTCTTATTTTATGGAAGATATATTTTTTATCATCATAATTTTGGGGAAGAACCTCAGTGACCTTTCAGTGTGTCACAGGGAAAGGGAATATGGACATTCCTTTTGGCTAAACTGGTCAAACTTGGACAACTCTGAACCAGCACCACTCCTCCCCTTACGACAAAATGTTACCCTGCAACAGATTTGACAGAATTAAAAGTTGCTTTAAATATTATGCAATTTCTGCGACATCCTGTGAAACTTCCAAAGTTTAAGCAATCCACACTAGATCTTGCGGAACTTCCAAAGATATCACACACAAGTGAAAATAACACAAGTAACTATTTAGAAATTATTTGCATCTATGAATGCTTTTTGGAATTGGACAAAAAACTGAAATATGCAGAATGATTATCCTCTTCAGACTGCTTTGCTTCTGAATACTGCAAACACAATCACAATTTAGTTCACAGCCTATTTAAGTGTTCCAGACATCAGTTTAAGTTGAACAACTTAAGGCTTTTCAGGCTTGACTAGAGTCAACTGAGACGTAACCAAGTAAATGCAAGTAAGATACTCGATATTGAGGAAAGGTCATCAAATAAACTGTCACAGTAAGGCATGGGAACACTAATATAAGGCCAAATTAGGATTAATATATTGGAATGTTAGCCTTTACTGAAAGAGGATTTTAAGTCTAGGAGTCATGAAGTCTTGCTTCAACTGCATAAGAGTTCAGTTGGATAGGACCTGGAGTACTGGATGCAGTTTTATTCTCCTTATTTCAGGAAAGATATTGATACAGAGGGAGTGTAATGAACGCCCATGAGATTTGTTCCTGGGATTGTGGGAACGTCCTACTAAGAGAGATTGGGCAAACTAAGCCTGTACTCTCTCAAGTTTTGAAGAATGAGAGATGAATGCATGGAAATGTACAAAGTACTTAAAGGGATAGACAGGGAGATGAAGATAAGCTTCTCCCGTAGGATTAGGGTTGCCTTGTTAGGGAGTGTAAACCCATAGGGCACAAGGATGATAAAAGTATATTTTCACAAAGCGGGTGCAAATCCAGAGCTTCTGGACGACGAAAGAGGTATAGATTAACATGAGGCAAACAATTTGTGCTTAAGATGGAAGGATCAAGAATAAGAGAGCATAGATTTATGGTAAATGGCAAAAGAAGCAACGAGGAGAAACGTTTTCATGCAAGTGGTTATGATCTGGAATGTTCTGCCTGAAAATAGGTTGTGACAGAGTGAAGAAAGGCATTCTAGAGGCTATTGGATTGTTGTCTGAAACAAAACCATGTGCAGGGGGTTACGGGAGAAGGCAGCAGAATGGCAGTAGGGAGATTGCTCATTCAGAGAGCTGGCATGAACAT